GGTAAGGGCTCAAGGAAACCGCTACTTAAAAACCCTAGACAGGGGAGCAATCACCGAGCTAGCACATGGCTATCCTCAGATAGCTAGGCTCTAGGAAAGGGGACCACTACAACTAACATGGCAATGGCTGAAATATAACCACCCTTAGGTGGCTATACTAAGGAGGTCCCCAATCCGTGTCAGTCCCACAGTAGGCCAGCTTTTCGTTAAGCAATATATTGCCCAGAGGCTCACAATAGGAAGATCCAGACCATAGTAATGATTCGCTAAGGAGCGAACACATAAAACCATAGTCCAGATCAAAGCCTGATACAAGCAACGGCCATAACATTAGGTGGCTGGACACAGCTATCCTCAAATAGCATTTCCCTCAGATAAGACTGAAGTTCGCCCAGGCCATGAAGTGCGCCATCTACCTAAAACCTGAACAGGGGAGACAGCACAGTCTAGGCAAGGGCTCAAGGAGACCACTACTTAAAGACCCCACAAGGGGGAGCAGTCTCCAAGCTGGAACACCGCTATCCTCATACAGCAGATTCCAAACAAGGTTTCAGCGCTTACCTGAGACAGTTTGTACCCAAGGGGAACTAAACCCAGTTATAAATGCCTGGCTAGAACATAGCTGTCCTCAGACTGCTATATTCCAAAGCAAAACACTGAACTGGCCTGAACTGGAGCATAATCATCCGCAGATGGCAACACTCCCCGTAACCACTCTAGACTACTGAAGTACCCTGGGAAAGAAAGCTAACGGCTTCATTCCACAGAGCATTCAGTATAACCATGCCCAGCGAGGCTCTCCACACACAATAACATGCATATTAGAGAGGCACGGCTGAGTTGAATATAGCTCTGCCCGCGATCTCGCACGCCCTGAGCTAAAAACGACTCGGTGCTCACACTTCATCGTTATAGCAACGCAAGCATTATCCACGGCATCAGGCAACCCGATAGTCCAGGGTATGCGGACACCGCAGATCAAAGCAATCGCTGCGAGCTGAGATAAACCGAGCCGCGGCAACGGCCTGATACGCGAATGCTTTGCCCCGCATCCCTGGGGAATAGGAACAAACGTGAGCCGAGTGCATTAAAGTGATTCATCACAAAGAGCGCATGGTCACCGAGACAAAGACGAAAAGGTTAGAATGTCCTCAAGTGTTAGAATCCCAACACGGAGGCACATATTCCTCAAAGCGCTGCTCGACTCACCAGGATGATGTTTCACACACGTTCAACAGACAGACGGCTCCGAAGACAACAAAAGTTGGTGACTTATTTAGCAGGTGCCCCTTTTATACTTTCAGGTACCCGCCTATGACGTCACGGGTCACGTGGACCAATAGGATTGGAGTTGTTTTACGCATGCTTCAGGTACCGGTCACGCAGACAGCGTTCCCCAAAGTGTCCACCAGGACGCAGTGTTGAATTCCCTAGAAGGGGAACTAATTTATGATATATTAAGTCACAATTATGAGATAAAGTAGATATGCAATAAAAAGTTTAAATTATGAGATACAAGTTAAAATGATGACATACTAAGTCAAAATTATGAGATAAATCATAAGATAAAAGTTTGAAATTGAGATTTAAAAAAATCCAAACTGACATCCAAACTCAAAATTCGGAGAAAAATAAGTCGAAATTGACATTCGAAGTCAAAATTATGAGATAAAAAGACAAAATTATGACAAAAGGTTGCATTTATTGTCATATTTATAACTTACATCATAGTTATGCCTATTTATCTCACAATTTTCACATTTATCTCGTAATTATGACTTTTTTTCATAGTTACATTGTGAATTATCAAATTGTAGTTCTGAAAAATAAAATTACTACATTTCTTACTAAAAATGAAAACTGAAAATATAAAATCAAATATGAAAATAATAATAAAATAACCTGCCACACAATGCAATTGTAAGGTATAAAGTCGCGTGTATGCAAAATAAAGTAATAAAATACATAAAGCAATAAAAACTTGTAATTGTGAGATACAAAGACATGATTTATTGAAAACAAGTAGTAGTTAGATATAAAGTTGAAAATTATGACAAAAAGTTTGCTTTTGTTATAATCACACTTTTAAAAAGTGTGAAGTGGAAATGGACTGATTAATAAAATGCTGAACCCTTTGGTGTGAATGTTATATCATGTTTCTTCACCAAACAGACTGACAATCCTGTTTCATGACATTTTTCACTGTACAGTTTTCCTGCTCTGACCACTTTTGATCCACACTGTGTGTTTGCTTTTGGACAGGTCAAGGAGGACTGGAAATACGTGGCAATGGTGATTGACCGTATCTTTCTGTGGATGTTCATCATCGTGTGCCTGCTGGGGACGGTCGGCCTCTTCTTACCTCCCTGGATATCAGGAATGATCTAAACACTCGCTTTAAGAGCCGAGATACAGACCGACATCAAGAGCTCCGATAAAGACTTCCCTGATGGAAGCCAAGGCCTTTTCCAGGGACCATTACAAACATTTGTTATATGAAAAATGTTTTTTATTTTTTCTCATCCTCTGATGAGAGATATCGGCTGGTTCAGGGGTTATTTGAGGATGCGATTCATTGTTACAACGCAGGAAACAGCTCACTGAATGTCTGACATTTACCACTATCAAACTGAGTCCGAGTCCTATCGTTTCCATGCATAAAGAGCAGGACCGTCAGCACCACAATATGCAAAATTAACCTTTTGGAAAGAGGCAAAGCTTATGTGACCCTGACGAGTGGGAGTTCAATGCAGTTCACTCTTTACCCTTTATCCAACCGTTCAATGAATCGTAGATTGCATTTCGTGCCGCTTTCAACAGCAATTATCTCCAAGGTCACAAGGCAACTCCTATTTATTTATAACGTTCTCAAGTCTTTGAAAACGCAGTGCTTTTGATTTTGCGGAGGTCGTGCAATTATGCAAGTCGGGTCCGTGAACCACGAGGGTCAATGACTTTTAAATGGGACCTGAGAGAACAATGACATTTACTACTTGAAATTCTGCTCTGAACTAAAACACTGTTTTGCCAAACATGAAGAGCAAGTAAAGCTAAAATGTTAGGGATAAACTAGGATAGGCCTTTATCTGATGAAATCAAGAATGAATCCTGACATAAAAATGTCTCAGTCGGTTGACTTCATAATTACTATAACTGACTCTATCTATAATATCTATATATATTTAACAGCTGTGTAAAAAGTCCTGAACTGACTAATGATAAATGAACCGATGTAAGCAATGTCGCCCTCTGCTGATGGTTGTGTAAAACAACTGATGTAAGTCCAGGATTCACACGGAAACCTAGAAATGTGCAATTAAATTACAATAATAATTTACAAATTAAATAGGCAATTAAAATGAACACTTACAAATTTTTAAATCTTAATAAAAAATTTTATTCAAATGTTAACAAAATATTTAATTGGCTAAAATTGATCGGAAAAGGAATTTCATTGGTCAAAAAGATTATATTCAAAATATATTGAATTTGCAATATATTTTCATTTGAAATGTATATTTAATTCGTCATTTATAGAGATGCTGAAAAGAATAAACACTAAAACAATTCAGACTTTCATCTCACAATTTTGAGAAAAAAAAGTCAGAATTGCAAGAATCATACTCAGGATTTAGATGAGTTATAAAAAAAGTTTATAAATCTTATCAATTAAAATAATAACAAAAAGGTAATTTCAGCTTTTTGTCTGACAATTCTGACTTTCTAACAATTACGAGTTTATATCTTGCAATTATGAATTTTTTTCTCTGAATTGTGAGTTCATGCTCAAACAGTAGTTCATGGCACTAGCAAGGTCACGGGTTCGATATGCAGGGAATGTAACTGATATACCTTGAAATGCATAAATATAAACGCATATGTAGTGAATTAGAATGTCCCTCCCCCTGAATTATAGCAGGCAGCAAATCATGGTTTATCTATATTCATAATTTCCTTTCGTTGCAACGTAAGTGGCATTCATTGCGAAAGAGTCTTTTTTTTAGTCTATGGCACAAGCTGCCGAGGGTGGTTTTGGCAGGCTTTGTTTGTGATGTAAACAAATGGCACTTTGATACTTTGGTCCTTTAATATGTACCTACCTGAACTTCCTGTGTCAACAGGAAATGCATCAACACAGGAAAGAAAACTGTGCTTATCAAGCCATCTCATTGGGTAGTTTCTGACAGTGTTTTGTCTGTGCTTGCAATGCATGTTTCAGTGGCTTTTTAAAGAATGAGTTCAAGGAATAGTTCACCAAAAAATTAAAATTTGCTGAAAATTTACTCACATTCACCCATCCAAGATGTAGATGATTTTGTTTCTTCATCAGAACAGATTTGGTGAAATGTAGCATTGCATCACTTGCTCAGCAATGGATGCTCTGCAGTGAATGGGTGCTGTCAGAATGAGAGTCCAAACAGCTGATTAAAAACATCACAATAATCCACAAGTAATCCACACCACTCCAGTCCATCAGTTAACATCTTGAGAAGTGAAAAACTGTGTTTGTAATCATCCATCATTAAGATATTTCTAACTTATTATCGGCTAAAATATGAGTCCATAATATTGCTTCCTCCAGTGAAAAGCAATGCTAGTGGGGAAGTCGTGGCCTAATGGTTAGCGAGTCGGACTCATAACTCAAAGGTTGTGGGTTCGAGTCTTGTACCAGAAGGGATTGTAGGTGGGGGGAGTGAATGTACAGCGCCACCTTCAATACCACGACTGAGGTGCCCTTGAGCAAGGCACCGAACCCCCAACTGCTCCCCGGGCGCCGCAGCATAAATGGCTGCCCACTGCTCCGGGTGTGTGTTCACGGTGTGTGTGTGTTCACTGCTGTGTGTGTGCACTTTGGATGGGTAAATGTAGAGCACTAATTCCGAGTATGGGTCACCATACTTGGCCACATGTCACGTCACTTTACATTCCTCCAAATCTGTTCACTTAAAGAAACGAACTCATCTACATCTTGGATGCTTTGACTGGTGAGTAACCTGTCAGCAAATTAAAATTTTTGGGTGAACTACTCCTTTAAACACACAGGAGCATGCTTGTTTGCAGTACTGAAGGCAGGTGGCGCTCTTACCCCCATACTGCCACGGCGAGGGGATGGCGGTAGGGTCAGCGCCTAGCCGAACATGAGCACAGAGCGCCAATCTGGCGGGCTGACGAGGAATGGTGAACTAAAACGCAGAGACTCGGGCAGCTGGAAAGTTGGGCGTACAAGCAAGAACACACACAGAGAAGCACAACTGAACCACACACTAAAACGTATTCACACAATGACATGCACAACATGCCGGTTTTGAGCGCAAATGCAGAAAAGCAGGCCGAAACCACAGTTGCTGGAAATGGTGTGACTTGACCTAGATAAACGTGACCAACATGAAGCTGCTTTATAGTTTATAGTGATGGTCTACCAATTTTAAATGCATCACCCTCTGAGTAAAATATATTGCTTTCGCTTTCATTGCACAGGAGACATAATTGAAGTTTCATTTAACCATCAACTTTGTCTCAGAAATAGAAATAGACATAAATAAGGCTATGAGATGAAAGTGGACAGCAGCTCAGATTGTATAATCTTGGGAGAATTTGATGGGAGAAAAGTTCATATTAGTTCATCTACTTATCACTACAAAGAGGCTGCATTTTATGCAATTAAAGCAACTACAGACTTAATAGGAGGAAAAAAATCACCTGGAGATGTAGATGTGGTTTGAGAGTGCTGAAACCTGATGGTTTCATTCTTGACGGCTTTTCACAAAAGAAGAATGAAGATGAACAGAAAAAGAGCATGTTCAATGATCAATAGTACGAGAATAGCAGTATAAAAAAAGAGGGTGAAAAGATAGATACCTTCGGTGGAGCATCAGTAAATGGGTTTATATTTATGGAGCGAGTTCTGCCTCTCAGCTCCTCCACCTCCACTTCCTTCTCCATATTATGAACATCACTTTGGGGAGCAAATAGAAACAGTTAATGTTACAGTTTGTATAGATTTTATTGTTAATATTATTTTTATGTTTTTGTATGTTTATTATCATCTACCTTTTTATTTTTTATATTTATTAGATTTTTATGTATAGAAGTTTTGTATTTTTGATTATTGTTGACATTTTAAATATTTATTTATATTAATTTGACATTTTTATTTTATTTTTTAAAATAACTCTTATTTTTATTATTTATATTTTAATTTATTTTAAATATACATTTTCCCCACAATGTCCACTAACACTAACAAATGATAATGATTTTATTATCATTGATTTTTTTTTTTTTCATTTTTACATTTAATTGTTCAGAATTTTTTAATTAAATTTTTATACAATTTATTTTATTATTACTAATAAAATACATTTGTAATTTGTGTAAATACAGAATAAGCCGTTTTAACAGCTTAGTTTTAATAAATGCTCTATTTTGGGTTGGCGTTAGCACTCTGTTTTGAGCTCTGAAATGCATGCATATGACTCCTTTAAGGGCTCAAACTGACAATCTGACTAGAGCAGTGGTGACGTACCTCAGCTTGCACACGAGCTCAGTGAAGCTGGGTCTCTCGCGGGGGCTGTAGGCCCAGCAGCGGGTCATGAGGGAGTAGAGGGTCGGCGGGCACTGCTCAGGTTTGGGCAGACGGATGCCCTGCTCCAGCTGGTTTATCACATCCTTGTTCTCCAGCCAGAAGAACGGCTGCAGACCTCTACTCATGATCTCCCACATGCACACAGCTGAAAGGAGAAGCACAGGAAACCGCCAAGAATCAGAAACCAGAAATGCGTCTTCTGAACTGCTTCAGACGTTCATTGCAAAATTTCAAGACGCATGGCATTGTGAAAAGATATGGTTCTTCACAGGAGATAGGAATTCCCATCATGATGACGGCTTGAAAAATCCTCACGATTGAATTGATCTGTTGCCTAATGTGGTCAAAACAGTGATTCAGCTTTGAAAAGACAGCATTACGTTTTGAAGAAGTGACATAACACATCATGCATGTTTAAATGCATTAATCTCACGTCATGCTTCAAAGTCACTAACCAAACATCCAGACATCACTCGCCGAGGTAAAGCGTCTGAAGTTGATGGACTCCGGCGCCATCCATTTGATAGGTAATCGACTCACGGAGGCTTCAGAGAAAAAAAACAAACAGTGTCATTTGACAGCATTAGGCATAAGAAATCTTGGGAGAATTTGATGGGAGAAAAGTTCATATTAGTTCATCTACTTATCACTACAAAGAGGCTGCATTTTATGCAATTAAAGCAACTACAGACTTAATAGGAGGAAAAAAATCACCTGGAGATGTAGATGTGGTTTGAGAGTGCTGAAACCTGATGGTTTCATTCTTGACGGCTTTTCACAAAAGAAGAATGAAGATGAACAGAAAAAGAGCATGTTCAATGATCAATAGTACGAGAATAGCAGTATAAAAAAAGAGGGTGAAAAGATAGATACCTTCGGTGGAGCATCAGTAAATGGGTTTATATTTATGGAGCGAGTTCTGCCTCTCAGCTCCTCCACCTCCACTTCCTTCTCCATATTATGAACATCACTTTGGGGAGCAAATAGAAACAGTTAATGTTACAGTTTGTATAGATTTTATTGTTAATATTATTTTTATGTTTTTGTATGTTTATTATCATCTACCTTTTTATTTTTTATATTTATTAGATTTTTATGTATAGAAGTTTTGTATTTTTGATTATTGTTGACATTTTAAATATTTATTTATATTAATTTGACATTTTTATTTTATTTTTTAAAATAACTCTTATTTTTATTATTTATATTTTAATTTATTTTAAATATACATTTTCCCCACAATGTCCACTAACACTAACAAATGATAATGATTTTATTATCATTGAATTATTTTTTTTCATTTTTACATTTAATTGTTCAGAATTTTTTAATTAAATTTTTATACAATTTATTTTATTATTACTAATAAAATACATTTGTAATTTGTGTAAATACAGAATAAGCCGTTTTAACAGCTTAGTTTTAATAAATGCTCTATTTTGGGTTGGCGTTAGCACTCTGTTTTGAGCTCTGAAATGCATGCATATGACTCCTTTAAGGGCTCAAACTGACAATCTGACTAGAGCAGTGGTGACGTACCTCAGCTTGCACACGAGCTCAGTGAAGCTGGGTCTCTCGCGGGGGCTGTAGGCCCAGCAGCGGGTCATGAGGGAGTAGAGGGTCGGCGGGCACTGCTCAGGTTTGGGCAGACGGATGCCCTGCTCCAGCTGGTTTATCACATCCTTGTTCTCCAGCCAGAAGAACGGCTGCAGACCTCTACTCATGATCTCCCACATGCACACAGCTGAAAGGAGAAGCACAGGAAACCGCCAAGAATCAGAAACCAGAAATGCGTCTTCTGAACTGCTTCAGACGTTCATTGCAAAATTTCAAGATGCATGGCATTGTGAAAAGATATGGTTCTTCACAGGAATCGGCACTGAATCAACAAGACTGACAACAGGAGATAGGAATTCCCATCATGATGACGGCTTGAAAAATCCTCACGATTGAATTGATCTGTTGCCTAATGTGGTCAAAACAGTGATTCAGCTTTGAAAAGACAGCATTACGTTTTGAAGAAGTGACATAACACATCATGCATGTTTAAATGCATTAATCTCACGTCATGCTTCAAAGTCACTAACCAAACATCCAGACATCACTCGCCGAGGTAAAGCGTCTGAAGTTGATGGACTCCGGCGCCATCCATTTGATAGGTAATCGACTCACGGAGGCTTCAGAGAAAAAAAACAAACAGTGTCATTTGACAGCATTAGGCATAAGAAATACGAGTGAAATATTAGACTCAAACTGCATGATAAGTTTAAACAGACTAGTCAGCCTTAGTCTTGCCTTTGTAATACTCCTCCTCTTCTATGTATCGGGACAAGCCGAAGTCTCCCAGCTTCACACAGTCTGGTTTGGCGACCAGCACGTTTCTCACAGCAATGTCCCTGATGGAAAAACATTGAACTGAATAACTTGATCATGTGCACCACTAAAATAGGTTCTGTTCAACCACACGTATGAGATACAGATGATTATCAACAAAGAGATGTGAAGACACCAACAAGCAAATGCGGTTTAATTTTTAATGCATGTGCGAGCTGTGGGAGGGCAAGGCATAATTTGTGTGTCCTAAATTTAATATACAGTATGGCGTGTGCATATTTTGGGGTCAATAAGATTATTTGTTTAACTATATTAATCATTTTATTCAGCAAAGACACATAGAAATTTAATAATATTTCACAATCGTATAGTTTTTACTGTATTTTATCATATAAATGCAGTCTTGTTGAGTGTAAGAGATGTCTCAAAAAATTATAAAGGTAAATATCACTCATTAAAAAGTGAAAGTGATGTGACATGTAGCCAAGAATGATATGCATTCGGTGTTCCTAAAAGTTTAGCTATGAAATTTGCAAAACAAAGGCATCAGTCGCTTTAATCCAAAAATATTTAAAATGCTATTAAACAACATATAATTTGTGATGCACATGACAGACAACAGAATTCTTCTGTCATTATGTACAGCCATTATTACACATTGTTAGTGAACAAGTAAAACTTGAGTAAAAGGCTCTATATTTTAGACTATTATTTAAAATATAAATTTCTCTACAGGAACAAGACTGCCCATAGCTGAAGAAACACTCGACGTACAAAGCAAAGTGAGCGGTTGTGCGGATGTCCCATATAAAGTGCACTGCAGTTAGCAGAAGGAGTTCTACCAATGGCCTTGATTTTGATTTTTTTTACCTGTCAAACTGACATCAGCTAAACTTTTACCCATAAGAGTTACTGAAAACTGAGACAAAGTTAGTAAAGTGAAAAGTCAAGAGGAAGAGATGATTATAAGCAGCCTTACTGTTTCTTCATACTTTAAAGCCATAACCAACCGAGACCAAATGCCCAAAATTTCAAACCAAATAGGTAATGATTATTCACAATAACTGCATGAACTTTTTAAGCAACTAAGACACTGAATCTGGTCAGAAGGTGTATTGATGTACCTGTGTACCATGTTAACACCCTCTAGGTAAGCAAGAGCTTTACTGATCTGAAGACAGTACAGGATCAGCGTGACATTGCTTAATTTGTGCTTGTTCTCCATCAGGTAAATTCCTAGCTGAAGAAACACAGAGAAACCAGGATGATAATAAAGTCTGATTAACAATATTGCATAATGCACTAATATGAGTCAGATTTACCCCATATTGTGACATAGGCAAGAGTGATCGTTAAAGGAATAGTTCGCCAAAAAAACTAAATCAGCTAAAAAAGTACTCACCCTGAGGTCATTTAAGATGTAGATGAGTTTGGTTCCTCATAGGAACAGATTTGGAGAAGTGTAGCATTCCAATGCTCACCAATGGATCCTCTGCAGTGAATGGGTGCCGTCAGAATGAGAGTCTAAGCAGCTGATAAAAACATTTCATAATCCACACCACTCCAGTCCATCAGTTAACATCTTGTGAAGCAAAAAGCTGCGTGTTTGTAAGAAACAAATATTAAATCATTATTTATTTTTAACTTCAAACCGTTGGTACTGTCTAAAATACGAGTCGTCTATCCATAATACTGCTTTCTCCAGAGATAAAGTTTTCTCATCTGAATCAGTAGAGAAATATTCACAGATCAAACACAGTTTACACTGTTTACGTGCAAAAACAGTTCAAAACAAATATGTTGGTGGATTTTGATGTGAGAGGACAATAGGAGACGGACTTTTTCACTGGAAGCAGCGTTATTATGGATTACTCTAATTTGGTCAGAAGTGAAGGTTTAAAGTTAAAATGCATTAACATGCAGCTTTTTGCTTCACAAGATGTTAACTGATGGACTGGAGTGGTGTGGATTACTTGTGGATTATTGTGATGTTTTTATCAGCTGTTTGGACTCTCATTCTGACGGCACCCATTCACTGCAGAGCATCCATTGGTGAGCAAGTGATGTTAATGCTACAATTCTCTAAATCTGATGAAGAAACAAACTCATCTACATCTTGGATTGACTTTGTTTAATAGAAAAAAAAATCTAATTCTTAATTCTTCAGTAGTTTTGTCTGATTTTCTTTGCTACCACACTTGAATATGAACAAGGCACTGACAATCTTGAAATCATTGAAATGAAAGAATCTCACCTCTCCGTACTGGTACAGCTCCATGACAATCCACACGGGATCCTCTTCAATAATTCCAATGAGTCTCACGATGTGCAGATGGTCCAGTTTCTTCATGATCACTGCATGAAAACAATGACTTTTATCATTCTATTCGAGCATCTATCCGATTCTACAGGTGGAAGATGAATCATCTTACAAGCTTCACTCATGAACTTCTCCTTCACATCAGCTGAGCAGTCCTTGCATGTCTTTACAGCCACATTCACCTGCTCTCCCTTCTGGATAAAGACACAAGATTCATGAGGTTTCTGTCCTGAAAGCAGAACTTGAATATGTTTCCAGTGATTTCTACTAAATCCTTGTGATCCGTATCGCTGAATATTTGGGCCTGTAGGTGTGTGACTGATGCACTAACCTTGCTTTTATAGATCCCATCATGCACCTCACCAAAGAAACCTTCACCCAGAATCCGGCCGAGGACAATGTCGTTTCGTGAGATGCTGAATTTACACGCTGGAAAACAAGGGATTGAGGTAAAAATGTCAAATAAAGAAAGAAATGACAACTAATCTATCCCTTAAAACATTATTTGGTTCTTACTTGGAACTGGTGCATCTTCTGGTATCTCTGCATAAATATCTGAACCTGTGAAAAATTCATATAATGAAAAAAACATTATATATCGAATAATCTATCTTTTATAAAATGGTTATATTAAATATATGCAATATATATTTTGCTTTACGTACTTTCCCTGTCAGATCTGGTGTTTTCCATGCTGCTTTGCAATATGAGATTAGAAAGGTTCAGTAAGACAGAACCATTTCAATAATCAAATATAAATCAAATAAGTATATATAAATAAATGTAATAAGTTATACTCATATAATATATTTATTAATTCTATACATTATATCTGCTGAAAATTCAGTGTTGCATCACAGGTCTGCACAATTAATCGAATTTCTAATCGCGATTACAATTATGGATGCCACAATTACGTAATCGTTCAAAGCGGCAATTAATCGTTCAAAGTCCACTTATGTTATTCTGCATGCTTACGATATGTTTTTTTCTTTCTACATGTTATCTTAAGGGTTTTTCCCTTAAGATTTAGTTTTAAAAAATGTTTTAGTTTTAGTATAACATTATAATACCATTCATATGTTAACTTTTTTTATAATTTAAAGAAGAAACCAAAGCACTAAAGGTTTTTCAGTTAGAGTGTTTTCAGCTTGTTTATTTTCATATAAAAATGTGGCATACATTTGCACCAAACAATGGTATAAACATCATTCAATGTAAATTGTGATCATCGTAATTAATAATCGCAATTACAATTTCAAGGGAATAATCGACAATTATGATTTTTGTCATAATCGTGCAGCCCTAATCACAGGAATAAATTACATTTTAACATATATTAAATTAGAAAACAATTATCTATAATTATCTACTATATTTGGATCAAATAAATGCTAATTTGGTGAGCATAAAGACTTCTTTATAAAAAACATTAAAACATTTGAATCATTCCAAAACTTCTGACTGGTAGTGTATAAGTTTTAATATATACAAAAGAATAAATGTATATATACATGAATACATACTGTGTATAAAAGAACAGAGTACAGAAAAAGCAAAACACCTGCTCACCTGTTAGGTAAAGGAGGTAGAGAGATTCTAGCTTCTCTGTCTGATAAACATAAGCGGTAGTTTGTTATTCATATGATGGTGAACACAGTGCACACTATGTGTCTCTACACTGTTAAGGGTCATGCACTTATTAGGCAAGTCAGAAACAGGTTAGGCAGAGGAACTGCTTGAATTGGTTTCATTAGTGAATACTAATTAAAGATGCATGAAGATGTTGGTTTCATGACCTGGTAATACAAAATAATAAAACCCACAGACCTTTGGGCCGTACTATTAAAGTCGCCTCATTTCCATGCTCCAAACGACAGTAGCCATCAATTAAATCCATCATGTTCTCTGCGATGGCCAGAGAGGCTGTGCTGATGGACAAAGGCTGAAAATGACAAGAGAGAAATCAAATCTTTTAATATGCATAATTAAACTCTTCATAAGAAAAGGTAAACTGATGTTAAACAGTAGTCAAGTATTCATTTCAAGAATACACGTGCAGATGCATTTACCTGTTTAGCTCCTTCTATATCTATATGTAGCAGCGTCTTTCCGTCATTCTGAGGCATGCACTTAATACTTCGAATTTGCACAAATGTGGCTAGACAGACCGGCTAATGAGGACATATCAAAGAAACATACACATATTTATATATATATATATATATATATATATATATATATATATATATATATATATATATATATATATATATATAAACTCAACTGATCAACTGATGGTAGATCAAAAAAAAAATTCCATTGTGGTTAACTGACAAATAGAAGTGGTTACTGTCGCTTTCATGTGAGTGCTGGGTTTTCAGAGAACAGGTCAAATGGTGGGATACGTGAGGGGATGTTCTTCTTACCACAGAGCTTTTGTCTGTACGTTGCCGAATACCTTTGGGCCCGATGACCAGATCCACAGATATGCTCCATCCTTGCTACAGAAGAACAGACAGTTACATTAAGCAACAATTGTAGATTTTACACAACAACTGTTGCTTGATGAACATCTGAAGTATACACTTAAACCACATTCATATCAATGTCATGCACTAGATAACAAAATAGCAAAGCAACATGCTATCTATGCTGCAGAAAGAAAACACATGCAAAAAAAAATTTCCATTGTGGTTAACTGACAAATAGAAGTGGTTACTGTCGCTTTCATGTGAGTGCTGGGTTTTCAGAGAACAGGTCAAATGGTGGGATACGTGAGGGGATGTTCTTCTTACCACAGAGCTTTTGTCTGTACGTTGCCGAATACCTTTGGGCCCGATGACCAGATCCACAGATATGCTCCATCCTTGCTACAGAAGAACAGACAGTTACATTAAGCAACAATTGTAGATTTTACACAACAACTGTTGCTTGATGAACATCTGAAGTATACACTTAAACCACATTCATATCAATGTCATGCACTAGATAACAAAATAGCAAAGCAACATGCTATCTGTGCTGCAGAAAGATAACACATGCACGAATTTCAAGTAAAACACTTTGTAAATAATGGTTTTAAATAATGGAAAATAAACAGACATAGTACTGAAAATGAAGATGAAAAGTACTGAACTGACTTCATAGTCACTGCAAAAGTGAAGTTTTTGCAGGATTTAATTGCTTCAAAACTGTTATCTAATGCAATTACTTTCACACATTTGTATACATGCCCACAGTGTCTAAAGACATTTTGGGGCCACTGAATTTATCCATCCACCCACAACTAGTTATCACACTACTTCAGAGAGTAAATGACACACATCGACCATCACTGAAGGAATAGTTCACCCATAATTGAAAATGTATGAATGGGTGCCGTCAGAATGAGAGTCCAAACAGCTGATAAAAACATCACAATAATCCACAAGTAATCCACACCACTCCAGTCCATCAAGCAAAAAGCTGCATGTTTGTAGGAAACAAATACTTCATTAATGCATTTTAACTTAAATCATCTCTTCCAGTCAAAATACAAGTCCATAATCCATAATAACGCTTCCTACAGTGAAAAAGTCCATCCCCTGTTTTTCCTCTCACATCAAAACCCAAGTACATATTTTATATTCAAACTGTTTTGACTTGTAAATGGTGCTTGAAATGTGCATATTTCTCTCCTGATTCAGGTGAGACGACTTCTTCACTGGAGAAAGCAATTTTATGGATTTGTTTTTTTACAAACATGCAGCTTTTCACTTCTCCAGATGTTAACTGATGGACTGGAGTGGTGTGGATTACTTGTGGATTATTGTGATGTTTTTATCAGCTGTTTGTACTCTCATTCTGACGGCACCCATTCACTGCAGAGGATCCACTGGTGAGCAAGTGATGCAATGCTACATTTCACCAAATCTCTTCTGATGAAGAAACAAACAATTTTTCAGCAAATTTTCATTTCTGGGTGAACTATTCCTTTTAACATAACAAATTAAAAAATACCATTATGGGCATCTTACCACCAGCTCACAAGGAAAAACCTCTTCATCAAAACTGGAAAAGACAGATAATGTCTCAAAGAACTTGATGATGCACTGCTCCTCCTTCAGCGACGCAAACTGCTCGAACGTTTGCTGGATCAATTTCCTCAGCTGCTTCGGCTGTTTCACACCAGACAGACATATATGAACAATATTTCATCCAGTGGTGTAAAGTATTTGAGTAAATGAAATTAGTTACTGTACTTGAGTATCTTTTTGGCTACTTTGTCGTTTTCTTTATGTGAATGCGAGTGCATTAGCAGGTAGTTGTGAATGGCAGGTGTTTTATATACGAGATGAGGACATTACTGCAGCCAGCGATGAGGCTGAAACCAGCACATTTAGTGCAAGAAGGCTTTGACTTTTATTTATACTGAAGAGACCTTTTTGAAAGACATTGTTTTAGTTATGCCCTTTTTGAGCACTTGTGCTTCACTGAGACTTGAGTGTCTGTAGACGTTTAAGAGATGGTTGTGTTGACATTGATTTCTTGGAATTTTGAGGTGTTCAGTTTTATTTTGATTTTAGAAAACAAACGTGATTGCTCTCCTCACAAATCAACTGTTTCTTGTTTTTCACTGGCATTTATCTTAGATGTTGAGGACTAATGCATCTTTGAGCCTACATTCAGTGCGAGTAAAATACTTAAGTACTGTTAAAATCAGATATTCTAAGACTTCTACTCAAGTCGTTTTGTAATCAGTGACTTGTAATGGAGTCATTTTCACTGTAAGGTATCTGTACTTTTACTCAAGTATGGTTTTCAGGTACTATTTACACCTGTGATTTCATCATTATTAATCATAAATCACAAATGCTTTTAGTGTGTATTGGATTCCTTTGCTGCCTTATTCTCATAAAAGTCAAGAAAATGTTTTCACCTTCATACTGTCGATTAATTCTTGAGGAAAGAACAAATCCAGACCAACATCTTTCCTGAAAGGAGCAGAAATGCCATCAATGTATTGTGCATATTCTTCGGTAAAACTATCTAAAGCATAATACAAACTACTTACTCCAGAAGCTCAAAGTTAGATTTTTTCTCCAGGCCACTGGCATTCATGTCTTTATAAAACCTCCTGTTAGAATAGAAAAAATGAAAGGCGTGTAAAATTTGAAAATATTTTTTGGAAGCATTCTGTGTATTATGTACATACATGTTATGTTGTCTTTTATTATCACTTGGTTTAAATTTACATCTTTTGTTATGCATTTCATGTGTACTACCTATTTTATCATCTTTTATTATCATTATAAAGTAGGTTTCCCCTTTAAAGGAACAGTTCACCCAAAAATAAAAATTTGCTGAAAATTTACTCATCCTCAGGCCATCCAAGATTAGGATGAGTTTGTTTCTTCATCAGATTTGGAGAAATGTAGCATTCCATCACTTGCTCACCAATGGATCCTTTGCAGTGAATGGGTGCCGTCAGAATGAGAGTCCAAACAGCTGATAAAAACATCACAATAATCCACAAGTAATCCACACCACTCCAGTCCATCAATTAACATCTTGCGAAGCCAAAAGCTACTGATTACTGATTATTGTGATGTTTTTATCAGCTGTTTGGACTCTCATTCTGACGGCACCCATTTACTGCAGAGGATCCATTGATGGGCAAGTGATAAAATGCTACTTTAGTGGATGGCCTGAGACTGAATACATTTTCAGCAAATGCACTTTGAGTTGCATTTCTTGTAAGGTGCTATACAAATAAATGTTATTATTATTTATTATTATCATTATGAATTTTCTCAGTTCATCTGCATAAACATACCTGATCTCCAGACAGCCCAACTGCAGCGCCATCCCGTCACTAACTCTCCTCGCACTGTGCTGCATGTAGTCACTGCGAACCTGCATAACGGCAGCAATAACACACCTTCATTCACCTTTTTAGATGTGCAAACCACCATCAACAATTCAGCGCTACATCAAACATCCATAATGCCTCAGTGCAAATGGTGTGACTCATGTTTCTTTCACTATTCCGTGTGCCTATTCAGGATATGGAGTGGTAACTGTGAAGAAACACTCCCCATGTGACGGGTACCGACCTGCTGGTAGAAGTAGAGCATTGTAGTTTTGTCATCCTTTAACTTCTCCAGGAAATCAGGAGGAATGTAACGGATCCTCAAGTCATATCTGATCATGACGGCAGAACAAAAACAGGATTAGGAACATATACAAAAACTGATTTCCAGCACTGTAAGAACCCAAACACATGAACATACATACAGTGGGTACGGAAAGTATTCAGACCCCCTTAAATTTTTCACTCTTTGTTATATTGCAGCCATTTGCTAAAATCATTTAAGTTAATTTTTTTTCCTCATTAATGTACACACAGCACCCCGTATTGACAGAAAAACACAGAATTGTTGACATTTTTGCAGATTTATTAAAAAAGAAAAACTGAAATATCACATGGTCCTAAGTATTCAGACCCTTTGCTGTGACACTCATATATTTAACTCAGGTGCTGTCCATTTCTTCTGATCATCCTGGAGATGGTTCTACAGAGAAATCTCGTCCTCACTATGGTTAGCAAAACCCATAAACAAACACACATACGACAAAATATTTATTCTGGGCAAACTAGTTTCTGGGTTTTACTAGTCTCATCTTTTGAGCTCAACAAAAGAAAGAAACTGTATACAGGTTTGGAAAAACTTGAGGGCAAGTAAATGATAACAGAATTTTAATTTTTTTTGTAAATTATTTTATTTATATCTAAATATATTTTATTTATGCCAAAATATATTACAAAATGTATTTGAAGTGGCAAGAAAATGCATTACCAGTGTTCAAATTAATTTGGGGTAAATACAAAATGTATTTTTTAAATATATTTGGACGATATACACTATTACTAACTTAGAATCCAGTTTCCTCAACTATATTAAGCAGCACAACTGTTTTTAACACTGATAATAATAATAATAATAAATGTTTCTTGAGCAGCAAATCAGCATATTAGAATGATTTCTGAAGGATCATGTGACACTGAAGACTGGATGCTGAATGATGGTGAAAATTCAGCTTTGATCACAGGAATAAATTACATTTTAAAATATATTCAAATAGAAAACAGTTCTTTTAAATTGTAACAATATTTCACAATTTTAATGTACTGTATTTTTTGATCCAATAAACAGAGCCCTGGTGAGCAGAAAAGACTTCTTTCAAAAAGCTTAGATTCCAAACTTTTGAACGGTAGTGTAAATATATTTAGATTGAAAATATAACAGAAATGGCCAAAAATATAAAACATAATGAAATATAAACATAATGAAAATATATTTCTGCAAATATGATTTGAAATCAATATTAGCAATATATATATATATATTTATTTTATTTTATTTTTCCATATGAGAAACACACACACCTCCACTCCGCCTCGACGTGCTGCTGTTCATATTTCTGCTCCACTTCTGCTACGGTGAGGTTTGGGTGCAGCCAGTGAACCTCGTCTGATTTGAGGTGTTTGAGCAGCAGACCGTAGCATTCAGAGAACTTGATGTTGGGACCGAGTCGCCCGCTGTCCAGGATGGACTGAGTAATTCTCTGCAGAATGAAATCATCATTCAAATCAAACATTTAAACATTTGTGGATTTATTTCACCCCAAAAAAGAAAGAAAGAAGAAATGATATGTTTAAGCCTATATGTTTAGGGCTTTTTTGCATTATTTTCATTTTATTTATCATTATCATGAAAGGAATGTCAACATGCATGTTAATCTTCTCACCCTGATATTCCAGGAACTTTCACATTTGACCAGTTTGAAGTTCTTGCCCAGGTTGGCGCTGTTGCTTATGAAGCACACTTTGAGGATTTTCACCGGCCCCCTGCATTGATTCTCAGTGGATACCATCAGTGAACCGGGAGGAGGCAGTTTCCATGACAACGTACTGGTTTCACCCGACATCTCTACACAAGGCTGTCATGAGATGGATCTCCTCAACTGACTATCAGCTGTGTGGTGAGACGGAGGAGAAATAATCCATTCAAGTTCAGGCAGGAGCGTGACGCAGCCAAAGGAAATCAATGAGTGACTCAATCATTAACTATGAGAACATGAAAAATTGTGAATTTAAGAGATGAATCCTTTTATTCTAAGCTTCATGTCCTGATATGTGTTAAACAAAGTCAAAGAACAGAATCTGGGATTTTTTTTTTCTTTTTGACATTTACACCTGGAAATATTCAAAAATAGGAGTTTAAACATTTTTAAAACAAAGAAATGTTATGATGTAAAGCTAAAAGCATTTTTAATGCTCATCAGACTCTAACATAAAATTAATAATAATAATGTGGGATGAATTAGTATTAGTATTATTATTATTAATGCTTAGGATTAAAATTAGAATTAAAGAATTATAATTAAAATGATATAAATACAAGAACCTGACACTAAGCTTAACTGTCTTAAAAACAGCTTAAATGTAGTTTTGTTGAAGATGTTAAAACAAATAAAAAAATGTGTGAAGAAAAAATTAAACAATAAATTATTATTATTACTACTATTTTTATTATTATTATTACTGTATGTGATGACCAGTTAAATGAATAATTATTAGAATTATATAAACCCTAGAACTACTCTGACAGTAAGTTTGTCTTAAAAACAGCTTAAATCAAGTAAAAGTAATGAAGTAAATAAATTGATAATAATCATAATCATCTGCATTGAATTATTATTATTATTAGAGCCTGCTGACCAATACATTTTTTATAATTATTAAAAAATGATTAGAGTTTTGTATGGAAGCCCGTTTCCGTCACTAAATTTAAAAAAAGGTTATTGCGACTTTTTTTCTCACAAGTCTGACTTTTTTTCACAGAAATGTGAGATATAATTTCACAATTGCGAGTTCTAAAGTCAGAATTGTGAATTCTGGCTTTATTCCTCAGAATTGGGACTTTATGTCTCGCAATTGCGAGTTTATATCACACAATTCTGACTGTATTTCTCAGAATTGCGAGTTTATATCAGAATGACCTTTTTTATTTTTAATTCAGTGGCAGAAACGGGCTTCCATAGTTTTGAGAACAGCTTAAATGTAGTTTTATTCGAAACATTCAGTGCTTTTATCTATTCTAAAATAGCATTCTGTTACATTTCATACATAAATTCTCCTATTACAGAAAGCAGTAGAAAAAGCACATGACGTTCATGACCAAACACACTAGATTTCAACATGTCCACACACGAGAGGCTAATGCAACATCCTACCTGGACATGCTCCATCTCTGATGTGTGAACCAGTTTACTCCTGTGTTACCATATGATCTCTGAGTCACAGGACAGACAACCTGACAGGCTCAAATATTGATGAGATTCACAGAAATGTTGTCAAGCACAAGCAATGGCATTTTTCAGTATCCCAAAGAAAATAGGAAGTAAAATGTAGCTTGGTTAAGCTTCACTAGGAGACTTCTACTAGAAAATGTTTGATTTTTACACTATCAACTACCTTAACTTTATGTCTCTTAAACTCCTCAAAACCATCTACCACAACTTTGGTTTCCTGTCATGTGGTTTCAAGTGTTGGAAATTGTGAAAGTGTTAAACATTCACGCTTTGCCATGATAAAAACTGTTGTATTGTTGAAAAGTGTTGTTGAAAGTTTCTTTTTAAAGGAAATGCATTGTGTTTTAATCTTGAGCATTGCATTACAATTAAACTACTAAAACGGTAGTCAAATGGCAAAATATTGTGACCATGTTTTTATGGCATCAGCTCATTATTCATGAATCATGATAACAATGATCATCCCACAACATCCATACAAACGCTCATCACCTGATCAGATATGCCTCATATTTTTGACTCTTTCTCCCCACACAACCATTAAAATAAAGTCAAATGAAAAATGGAAACATCTAATGATATTTGCAACACATCAGCATCTACTGAACTTCCTTTTTAATGCTACACTGTCTTCATGGTTTGAAATGGTCAGAATCTGTAATTGAAATTGCAAGAAAATGTAAATGTGTCACAGACCTGAGCATGAGCTGATGTTCAGTGCCGCTTTCTCTCACTCTCACTGTCTCTCGTCCGGTGATTGTTTAATTCACACGAATCCAAACTGAAAGATTGTGAGCTGAAGTCCTGACGTGAGTGTTTTGGACACACCCCAAGTGTGTCACTGACTTCCTCAAACTTCACACCACTTCATCAGAGCTGCTGCTGCAAACACACACACACACACACACACACAGAGAGAGAGAGAGATCACAGAAATTACACTACAAGCTCTATTTGTGATATTTTTCAATTAATGTCCTCAAAAGCAGTTTTTCGACATTTTACTATAATTGTGAGGATATTTTTCTCAATTAATGTCCTCAAAAGCTGGTTTTCGACTTTTTACTATAATTGTCAGGATGTTTTCCTTATGAATGTCCTCAAAAGTTGGTTTTCAACATTTTACTATGTTTGTGATATTTTTTCAGTTAATGTCCTCAAAAGCTGGTTTTCGACTTTTTACTATAATTGTCAGGATATGTTTTCCTTATGAATGTCCTCAAAAGTTGGTTTTCAACATTTTACTATATTTGTGATATTTTTCAATTAATGTCCTCAAAAGGTGGTTTTCGACTTTTTACTATAATTGTCAGGATATGTTTTCCTTATGAATGTCCTCAAAAGTTGGTTTTCAACATTTTACTATAATTGTCAGGATATGTTTTCCTTATGAATGTCCTCAAAAGTTGGTTTTCAACATTTTACTATATTTGTGATATTTTTTCAGTTAATGTCCTCAAAAGCTGGTTTTCGACTTTTTACTATAATTGTCAGGATGTTTTCCTTATGAATGTCCTCAAAAGTTGGTTTTCAACATTTTACTATGTTTGTGATATTTTTTCAGTTAATGTCCTCAAAAGCTGGTTTTCGACTTTTTACTATAATTGTCAGGATGTTTTCCTTATGAATGTCCTCAAAAGTTGGTTTTCAACATTTTACTATGTTTGTGATATTTTTTCAGTTAATGTCCTCAAAAGCTGGTTTTCGACTTTTTACTATAATTGTCAGGATGTTTTCCTTATGAATGTCCTCAAAAGTTGGTTTTCAACATTTTACTATAATTGTCAGGATATGTTTTCCTTATGAATGTCCTCAAAAGTTGGTTTTCAACATTTTACTATATTTGTGATATTTTTCAATTAATGTCCTCAAAAGGTGGTTTTCGACTTTTTACTATAATTGTGAAGATATTTTTTCCCAATTAATGTCCTCAAAAGCTGGTTTTTGACTTTTTACTATAATTGTCAGGATATGTTTTCCTTATGAATGTCCTCAAAAGTTGGTTTTCAACATTTTACTATATTTGTGATATTTTTCAATTAATGTCCTCAAAAGGTGGTTTTCGACTTTTTACTATAATTGTGAAGATATTTTTTCCCAATTAATGTCCTCAAAAGCTGGTTTTTGACTTTTTACTATAATTGTCAGGATATGTTTTCCTTATGAATGTCCTCAAAAGTTGGTTTTCAACATTTTACTATATTTGTGATATTTTTCAATTAATGTCCTCAAAAGGTGGTTTTCGACATTTGACTATATTTGTGAGGATTTTTCCCCTTATGAATGTCCTCAAAAGCTGGTTTTTGACATTTTACTATAATTGTCAGGATATCTTTTCTTCATAAATGTCCTCAAAAATGGGTTTTCAATCTTTTATTATAATTGTGGAGAGGCAAGACGTGCATTCTTATCTACACTTAACCCTGGTACAAAATCTCTTCTGTTTAGAAAAAAAAAGCATTTCTTTGACTGAAGTCTTGCAACTTTTCATGAATGATTTTTAATTGAGTTACATGTGAGGAGGAAATATCTATTATTAGTATGTTAATTATATAAAATTTCCTCAATTTACATATTTTGCAGAGTTCTCAGACAAAACACAAAATAATAATAATATATCAAATAATAAAAAAACTAATAAAAATAATACATTGTCTAAAATTCGGTAATAATATAATATAATAATATTTTGTGTTATGTGTGAGAACTGTTTGAAATGTAAATTGAAGAAATTAATATAATGAACATAATAATATGTTTATTATATAGATTTCTTCTATTATTATTATTGTTTTGCTGAAAAGGGAAAAAATAACAACACATATTTTGTATTAAGTAAAAACAAATAAACTCTTATGCTAACGTTTGGTGGTTTTAATCAGAAAAAGTGTCAATGTGTCATACTGAAACTGTGTTTAGAGGATGTTGAGTATACGGAAGTGTGTTTTACAGCAGAGGGCACTGCTGACGTTCACTGTAGATCTCTTCACCGAATTTCAGCTTTTCATATGGATTTCAGCTCTTGAAAACTGAACTGCTGTTTGGAAACAAAAACGTTTTTAGAGCTGATGGCAGCGTGTGTGTGTGTGTGTGTGTGTCATATGATCACTGGATCCTTCAGCTGAAAGATGAAGCATGAACTCTATCCAGAGCTTCATCGCGTCTCCTTTCACTTTCTAAAAAGGTAAGTACTTTTAATTTCTACTGCAGTTTTTGTAAACCTCAACCACTATATTTAATGATGCTCAAAAATGGAAGCAGATTATGAAAGTATCTTGATTTAAATCTCCTTTAGGCTCATAATCAGTAGAGACTTTTTTCAAGAGAGTACAGATCTTTCAGTTGTGTTAGTTGCTATACATGCATCGCTTTTAAGTTTATTTCTAAAGGTCTAACAGTCGCCTTGTTCCACTCACTGGTCAGAGTCTGACGGCTTCACACACTCAGCAAACAGACTAAAGTGAAGATGGAAACTTTCGAAACCGCAAAGCGCACTTGAGCCTTTGACACTGAGATGCTGTGTTAATCTGATTCAGAGAGTTGAACCATTGATCTGTCTGCAGACTTTCTTCAAACAACACACTCAACACTTGGCCTTTCTAAAGCACACATGGGTAAAAGTACATGCATTTCTACACATTTGTGCATATTGTTTTGTAAAACAAACCTCAGAAAGGTAATACATTAGAGGTGGACAAAGTTTTTGCAAGTACATTTTTAATGCATTTAATCATCATAGTTTTCCTTTGAGATATATTATTATTTATGTGAACATGTTTCTGCATGTAAAAAGGATTTTTAGGACAGCAGCATCTTTCAAAAAGCTTAGATACAGACCAAACTGCCGTCCTATGCTCTAAGCAGACCATGTGACAGGAAGTGATAAGATGGTGTCTGAGCTTCATATTCTAGATGTGAGAGGAAGCCTCAGACTCATGTGTCATGGTGTGAATTTACTGTCTCTGCTGTGGGTGGAAAAATAAGATATTATTAGTTTGCTAAAGCAAGATTCCTTTCTGTATGAAAAATTAACAAATTAATCTTAGACACAATCTAGGCTTTGACAAGTGTTTGAAAAAAATAAAATGGCAATAAACTGTGAACAAGTCAACATGAAATACTACCATTTAAAAGTTTGGGGTCGGTAAGATTTTAAAAATGTTTTGAAAGAAGTCTCGTATGCTCACCAAGGCTGCATTTATTTGATCAAAAATACAGTAAAAAAAAAAAGTAATATTGTGAAATATTATTGCAATTTAAAGGAGACATATTATGGCCCTTTTTACAATATGTAATATAAGTCTCTGGTGTCCCCAGAATGTGTCTGTGAAGTTTCAGCTCAAAATACCCCACAGATCATTTATTACATCATTTTAAAAATGCCTATTTTGAGTGGAAGCAGAAACACGCTGTTTTTCATGCCTGTCTTTTTAAATGCAAATGAGCTGCTGCTCCCCGCCCCCTTTTCCAGAATAGAGCTGCTACAGCTCATACCTGCTAAAACATCTGTTTTGGTTCTGATTTTCATGTTTATCGCGCTGAAATCATGCGTTTTAAACCATATGAGTTTAAACTTCTGATATATGGTTTTCTGAGCGCACACATCTGAAGCACGCGCACAGAAAGCAGCTGTCACAGCATGTGAGCACTAAACTAATTTCTCATTCACACACAAGTTTAAGTTAAAAACACACATAAGTTACAAAAACAGTCGGTTATGTCTGTGAAGATAAACAGCTGGGAAATAAATTGTTAAATTGTAAATTGTAAAAAATGTTTATTTTAGATCTGTGTGGCAGCAGCAATATACAGTAAAATAAATCAATAAATCCACTGCTCTGTTGTCTCCTCTGAGGCTGGGACTGTAAATAGTGTTTTATGCTCGTCTGTGCAGCCAAAGACAGACCAGTTAGCGTGTTTTGCTCAAACCTTCACCATGGCATTAGAGCTGGTACACCGGTGTCACTTGCGAAATCAAAATGAAGGCGCTGTGGGTGGAAACGTACAGATTAAGGGGTGGTAATATTATAATGAGATCCCTTTGCCACGTCACCAAGAGAGCGAAATCAGACACGTTCGTTTTCTCAGACGCTTGCAGAAAAAGGCTTCCCAAAACAAAGTTACTGGGTTAATCTTTTTCAGGTTTCCTTGGTTGGTAGATGCACCGGGGACCTGATTATAGCACTTAAAACCGGGAAAAGTCAGATTTTCATGATATGTCACCTTTAAAATAACAGTTTTCAATTGTAATTTACTGTAAAATGTAATTTATTTCTGTGATGCAAAGCTGAATTTTCAACATCATGACTCCAGTCTTCAGTGTCACATGATCCTTCAGAAATCATTCTAATATGCTGATTTGTTACTCAGGAAACATTTCTGATTATTATCAGTTTTGAAAAAAGTTGTTTATTTATATTTATTATCAATGATTTAAATAGTCATGCTGCTTAATATTTCTGTGGAAACGGTGATATGTTTTTAGAATAAACAGAAAGTTCAAAAGAAGCATTTATTTGTAATAGAAAGCTTTTGTAACATTATAAATGTATTTGCTTTTGATTAATTTAATGCATCCTTGCTGAAAAAAACTATTTTTTTTTTCAAAAAATCTTACTAACCTTAAACTTTTGAATGGCAGCATACATCGTAACACAGGTTCCTAGTCTTCTTGTGCATATAACAGGTTATTCTTAAAATGTTTGTCTTTCTAATTTTTAGCAAATATAACAACTTGCTCTGTCTTGTTTTATAGGAAAAAACAATTAAAGAAATCTGCTGAGAGCTGAATGTGTGAAGACAACAACTTGAGAGTCTGTGCAAATAACGAATGATGGAAAACATTTGATGTCTTTCATAGTTACATTGAAACCAGCATGTAATCACGTCCCCTCAAACCATTAGTTTAACGGTACAGAAGTGGCACTTTAATCTTTCTAAAGATGACAGAAAACCTGTACGAGACGAATCAGTTCACCAACCACGCCAACGGGACCTATTTTTTCCAGCACAGCCCAAGCGCGTTGGGTACACCTCACTATGGTGTACCAAACGTGAGCTCGATCCAGTCATCTCCAATGTCTCCTCGACTCAACCACGAGCAGCTAACATCTCCTGGCACTCCAGGACATGAACTTTCTCCAATGCTTGAGATGCCAAACAGCGGCGGGACTTGGGAATATAACCAGTTTGGAAGGACATCATCATGGGGATCTTCTTCTCATGAAGAACTACCCGAAATCTACCCGTTTAACATCACATCTCAAAACAACTTATCACTGACTTGCAAAGACAATGGCAGTGCTTCTCATCCTTACAGGTTGGACTCGTTCTCAAAGGCCTTCTCTACGAAAAACATGCAACTTCTATTTGGTGATAGTAACAGGACAGATGATAAGCACTCAGAAAATCACATTTCAGGGGTTTTGCACTTGCCTCAAAGTCTCCCAGAAGGATCAGACAGGCAACCTTTGGAGTCTCCAGTTTTTAACCCAATGGTCATTCAAGGTCAATGCGATCAGACCGGCTTCCATCCATCAGAAAGCCAAAACTCATTGCACGGCCTTTACCAAAACCACCAACAGTTTCACTATGGATCCCAGCAACACAAACAGAAAGTGAACAACATGGAGCAGGTAAACAGGAGTCTCCAAAAGCCACAGAGCTCCTGGCAGCATCAGCACGGCTATCAAAGTCACCCAATGCCATATCCGATAGCCTTGAATCAACAACAAAGAGGGATATTTGCACATAAAACTCACCTGGACTCTCATGAACCTGCTCAATCGCCAACCTACGACCACCGTCAAGACTTTAAAGTCCCGGAGCAGCAGATCTTCCATTATCAAGACCAACAACATCTTCGATCGCTTTCCCAACCTGGCAATCCTTACCTCGTGCAAGATAACGTGCAATCAATCTCTGCAAAGCAAAACAACATGTTTAGCGATGCTCGTCACTCGGCACCCAACACACCTGTGTTCTCGAGTCCCAAAGAAGACCAATCTGCTTTCAACTTTCCTCACCAAAGTGAAGACCTCTGCAGCCCGCTTTACCAAAACAGGAGCTCAGGGGTCTGTAAAACTCTTCCACAGATGACTATGAGGGGGGATATTTTTCATCATCGCACCGCACATGCACCTCAGTGGTCACAGGTACTGTATTTTGTTTTTTATTAGTTAATTTTAGAGTCATTTGCATTTATGTTAAAGGTTTCTCATAAATACCTTGCAGACACCTTCACCAGATATTCAAGATGAGGCCATTTCACCTCATTTCAGGTTTGACTCTAACCTTACTTCTATCCATTTAGTCAAATCAAATCTATTTGTATAGAGCGTGTTCTAAATACACATTTCAAAGCAGCTTTACAGAAAACTGTGATGCTAATGTTTATAATACCAGTATATTAATGCCTTATAATCACATTTAGCAAATTAGAGCTGGGTGATAATTAAGTTCACATTTTGCGACGATTATAAACAATCAAGCAGATGATATTTGCTGTATAGAATGTATAGCCCTATGTGAGTATACAATATGTCTGCAAATAAAGTTAGACATGCTTATATATCCTACTTGGGTGTTACATTTAACTGTATACTTACATTTTGTGACAAAATGCTGGATATAATAACATAAGGTTGGATCTACTTAAAGTAATTGTATAATTCATTATTAATTTATAATTCATTGATTATTCCCAGTTATTAATTTGTCATCTGGTGATATTGAGAATTATGAAACCTGAGGTTTTGTTATTCAATTGTTATTTGGTGTAGTGGCAACCATTATTACTGTTTGGTCATATGTATCACTGGATTATTGGTGTATGTTTAAAAAAATATTATTTCAAAATTTCACTAGTGTTACTTGTAGAAACTAAAATAGTTTCTACACCAATTGTTTTTCAGTGTAGAACATAACATCTTTAGTCCCCTAGTGTGCAAACCAAAGGCAACTCTGGCAAGGAACAAAAAACTCAATGCTCCACTCATATTATTTATATTTAATATAGTATGTGGATTTGGATTTCTGTAGAGCAGAACCTGGGTTTTCGAGAGAGGACGGATCTCATGCAAAGATGAGATGCACAGTTTGTCACAGGGAGTTCAAAAGTCTCCCGGCTCTGAATGGTCACATGCGCTCACATGGAGGACTACGGACACACCCCACACCCCTCAAAATGGTAAGAACCATCATTTTGATCATCAGTGAGGTGGTTTGTGAAAAACTGCATGCTGATTTGCCCCATTGCTTCATATTTCTTTCTTTGTTTTAACAGAGAGACGGGCACATTCATCTGTCTGAAGCTGCTCAAAGCAACCCCATCTTCTTACCTGTGTCAGTACCTGTCAAGGACAACCAGACCCCAACCAAACTCACACTCAGCCTTCTGTGCCACCAGAAAGACAGTGAACAAAATGGTTTAATTAAGACTGGTGCACAGTCACCCCTCCCGTCTCTACGAAACCACCCTTCCTGTGTGAGTTTCTGGCATTCATAGTTATTTTTAACAGCTCTTTAGAAAATTAAAAGCTTTAACATCAAGGTCTGAAACATCACTTCAGCATTCTGAGAATTTATAAACTGCTGATGCTCAAAATGGTTTTTAAATGTAAACTTGATTCTTATGCCACCTTTTTGATTAAAAATTACAAGGGCACATGAATGTTCCAATAATGATGTGCACGGATAAATAATTTACAATTAACACGGAAATATTCCATTAAAATAAAAAAAGAACTGTAAATTGATTTCATCATGAAAAATAATGCAATGAGCACTTTAATATATCCTGCCCAGCTTTGTTTAAATTGGAAATGCATAAATAAAATAAAATAAAATAAAATGTGCTTCACAAAAAAATGTGACTACTGCACACAGATTGCCCAATTTGATCATATTATTTGATCTATGAAACAAAATTATGTTTCTCTTCTAAACTTGATTTCTTTGCTTTCAGTTAATGTAATCCTCTAAAATGCACAAACCAGTAGGACGCATGTAAACAAAGCAAACACTCAATAATGATTTTTGATGTTGACATAACTGAAACTGCACATTTTGCACGGGATGTAATGGGGAGAGTAAAAATTTTGAAATTAAGTATTATTTTTTGTGTTTTTGAGCAAGATGGGAAACAAGAGAGACTTGATAGTGCTTAAAGTTCAATTATGTTGGGATTTAGAACCGTTTCAATTACAATGGGTTACCATTGTGGTGAAGAATTTGAGCAGACTTAGCATTTAGCATGCTAAAATGTGCTATTGTTCTGTTAAACTGTCATGGAACCACTTTGAATCTACCTAATTTGGTCACTTCAAATAACTTAATTTGATGACGTCTACACAAATTATGCTTGTGTTTCTTAAAGGGATAGTTCACCCAAAAATGAAAATTCTGTCATCATTTACTCACCCTCATGTTGTTCCAAACCTGTACGAGTTTGTTTCTTCTGTTGGAACACAAAAGAAAATATTTTGAAGAATGTTGGTAACCAAACTATTGATGGTAGCCATTGACATCACATTTTCTGTTCAACAGAAGAAAGAAACTCATACAGGTTTATGTACAAGTGTTGTTTTCAGGTTTCATTTTTGAGTGAACTATCCCTTAACTGCTTCATGTGGAATGGATGTGCATGATTAAATCATGTAAATATGACTGGAATGATAACTGAACCTCACACCCCACATAACACATTCTAGATAAAGAGATCTGTCTCGAATGGAGAATATGCACCAAAGGTGGTGAAAAAGAGGTACCGCCGCTGTCTGGTCCCATTGATGATTCCTCCGCCCAGCACCAGTCAGGAGTCCAGAGGCACCGTGCTCTTCCACAGTCAGCTCAGGACGGTGAGCAGCATGGGGGACGACGTGCCCTACACCCCTCTACCCATGCTCAGCCCTGTACGGCCGGGATCAGGCCTCTTCAGCGCCATCAATGGAAAAGGCAAGAGCGTCTTGGTCAAGTCTGCTGCAGATGGGGCTTGATAGTCTCACTTAATGCAGTCAAATTTACTGGCATGCTATCTAAAGATTTTACAACAATAGTGATGATTAAAGAGTTATGTTTAATTAATTATTTTAGATGCATTGTTACAGTAGCTGTATTTTTCTCATTATAATATGCATTATCCATGTTTGTCTGTAACAGGTGATATGGATGGCTGTGGTGAGACTTCAAGAGAGAAAGCGATTAATGTAACACCGTAAGCATTTTGATGTTGTTTTATCTTTGTGTGTAAATTCAATGTCACTAGCAAAACATTTTCTCAAGAAAGTGTAACTGGTGCCTATGCAAAGTCGCCGGGTTGTGGTGTTGTGGGCTGTAGCCAGGCGTTGCTATGCAGTTGGTATGGTGTTGCTAGGTAGTTGATTATTGGCCAAAGTAAAAAAAAAATTCCCTTCTCAAGCCTCTGTCATATTGAGAAAAAAAAAATGAAATGGAATAAAAATTTATATTTCGATGCTTTTGTGTTTGATCGCAAAACTTTCGTGTTCTCCCGAGAAAGTTTGCATTTGCTTGAAAAATGTTGTGTTCTCAAAACTTTTACCAATTTTTTATTTATTTATTTAATTAAAAAATTTTTTTTTGTGGGAGAAAGCAAAAGTCTTTCCAGCAAATGAAAAAGCATTGAAATACACTTTCCCTCCCATTTCATTTTTTTAAAGCGAGTTTATTCACTCAGAAAAGTAATATCACACTTTCCCTCAATAAAACCACATGATCTGAGGTTTCATTTTCATTAGTGTTTCAAAACATTAAAACATTACACTCTTCACCTTCAATCTACACCAGCAAAACAATGTGTTACTGCAAATCATTTTACTGTCAAATGCTTACTTGATTTATGAAATAATTCAATAATGTCTGAATATAAAGTAAATTAATAATCAATAACTATATTTTATGTGTTCTTTGTAGTCGGATTAATGTTGCTTACTTGATTTATTAAACAATTAATAATGTTCAAATATAAAATGAATTAATACTCAATAACTGTATTTTATATGTTCTTTACAGTCGGATTAACATTGGCGAGGAATTTCAAGCAAAGATCCCAGATATTAAGAGTCAAACCCTCACAGAGGAAGATACCCATAATGCTGTTCTTCTGTGGTTGCCCAACAAAGACCTGGATATCCCTGATAACCAGCAGAAAGGTAACTAAAATCACATTGAGTTAAGTGCAGCAACTAGGAGACGTGGGGTGATTTTACAAAAGGCATGATGCAAAGCAAAACAAATCATTCTTTTTCAATTTTCCAAAAATTTATTGGAGTACATTTGGCAAAAAAAAAGAAGCTATTTAATTCTTTCTACTTCAAAATTTCATGTTTAATTCAATGTGTTACTTATGGAAGCCCGTTTCCGAAAAAAAGTCAGAATTGCGAGATAAAAAGTCGCAGTTACCTTGTTTTATTTTTTATTCATATAAATGCACAATTCTGACTTTTTTTCTCAGAATTGCGAGTTCATATCTAGCAATTTTGACTTTATAATTACTTACAAATTATATTTAATTACTTAAATATAATTATTTACAATTGTGAGTTATAAAGTCAGAATTGCAAGATAAAAACTCGCAATTGCGAGTTATAAAGTCAAAATTGCAAGTTACAAAGTCAGAATTGCGAGTTACAAAGTCAGAATTGCGAGTTACAAAGTCAGAATTGCGAGTTACAAAGTCAGAATTGCGAGTTATAAATTCAGAATAGCGAGTTATAAAGTCAGAATTGCGAGTTATAAATTCAGAATTGAGAGTTATAAAGTCAGAATTGCGAGTTACAAAGTCAGAATTGTGAGTTATAAATTCAGAATAGTGAGTTACAAAGTCAGAATTGCGAGTTATAAAGTCAGAATTGCGAGTTATAAAGTCAGAATTGAGAGTTACAAAGTCAGAATTGCGAGTTACAAAGTCAGAATAGTGAGTTACAAAGTCAGAATTGCGAGTTACAAAGTCAGAATAGTGAGTTACAAAGTCAGAATTGCGAGTTA